GTGTGTGTGTGTGTGTGTGTGTGTGTGTGTGTGTGTGTGTGTGTGTGTGTGTGTGAGCTGCCCTGAAAGGGGTGGCCCATTTTCATGTTTAGTTGGGAGGGGCTAACAGAGCAGTCAAGAGTGCCTGGGTGTCGGTGCTTGCCTTTTTCTTTTTCCCAAAATCAAGTATGTTCTGTCAAGTTTGTCGTAGTTTTCAGTCTGAGGTTTGAGTCTGAGAAACTCAAATTAGCACAGATCTGGAACGTCGTCTGCATCTGATGTCTGTTCGGTTCGGTCCTGTGTTTGGTTCGGTCCTGTGTTTCAAATCAGGTCCCTTAACTCCTCTGTGGGGTTGCTGGTGTGCATGGCTGCTGCGTCCGCTCTTCATCTGGCAAGGATGAAGAAGATCCGACTGCGGGGGCAGCAGGTGTACGGCCAATGCTGCGTGCGGGACATACGAGGAGAAAATGTGGTGGGTGCTGGCAGTATATAGTCCATGCAGTAGGGTGTGTGTTGCGTGCGTGTCTGGCTATGTGCGTGATGGCATATCCCTCACACAAGCCGAAGAAAGATTTTTGCAAATAACAAACTTAAAAAAAAGCCACATACAGACCGCTAAAGAACATAAATGATCCTGGAGAAACTTCGAAAAAAATAGACAAAAGAAGCAGCCCGGAAAGTACCACTAAGCAGGTGCAAGGCACGAGAAAAAGGTAGAACCCACCCTGGAAGAAGATTCTCAAGGACTTTAATATTAGTCGGCTGCGACGGCTGATGCTAAACCCAATTGCAAGAGCAACATAACACAGAGAACAATCTTTTTCTTAGCCCTCCTTTCGCACTGCAACTGCTCAGCAGTTTCCTCAGCCCCTTTATTCTGTACTTAGGATTTCGTAACGGAGGTGCGCTACATAGGCGGCGGTCAGGTAACCATCACTACGACCCAACCAACATACCATCTCTCTCTCAATTAAAGCTTAAACGAAAAAGCTTGGTCGTGGAAGAAACACAACAACCGCAAGGCGACACCAACTATAAATTGAACAAAAGCAGAATCACAGAACCCAACCAACAATCTCTCTCTCTCTCTCTCTCTCTCTCTCTCTCTCTCTC